ATTTCCTTGTAAATAATTTTAGTTATCTATTTAAAAAAGTGTTATAGATATTTTACTACTTTTTAGTCTATTACCTGCATGTTCTTCTATCAGTCAATTATATTACCTTTAACAGGCAGGAAACCCAGCCATCGGCACCTCATCCATATCCTGTAGAGAGTACTGACATATGCTATGTTTATCTATAGGCTTTGTACAACAGTAGGGAGCGTCAGGCAGTAGGACTGAAATAGCATCGGGCAGAAATTAAACAAAAGTGCTCGGAGAGCTTTGTCGCATTCACAACATGCACTTTATTCATGCTAAATAACCACAGATTCAATGTCTAAACTCTGCTCGAGACTTGTGTCAGCTAAATGATTCGCATTTCTAGCAAGTAGTCGGATCCCGTTTCAAACGCGAAAACGGTGTGCCGATCACGAGGACTACGCGACGACGGAAAGGCGCAATTACACAACAATACCCATCTCACTTATGCTTTCTAGACGTCAAGGATGCATCTACCTTGCGTGTATAATACAATCTAGTGCACTCTATTGCCGAATTTTACCGAAAACATTAGAAAGAAAGCCTTCTCCAGTGACGAAATAGTGCAGAGCCGAAAAACGGTTACTATTTTGTCTCTAGTTTTAAAAAAATCTGGAAATGCATTGTATGCGCAAGTTAGGTGCGTTATTTTCGGTCTAACAAAGGATGAGAAGTAAAATTGGTCTTGTTGAGAAATTATGACAGTTGCAGCCTTGCAGGTAGTAATTGTAAATGGTAGTAGTCGTCGTAAAAGTAGCAGTTGTAGCAGTAATAGTAGTAGTAAATTATCACAGATTATTATAGTGGGGCAGATATGTAACATTTTTTACTTGAAGTGTGCACATCTGGAAAGAAGCATGAAAATTTGCCCTAGGGGGGTTTTGAGCATGCTGAATTCAAAAATTGCGGGAAACTCGATGTCACTCCAACGTTTCCCGCCAAAAAATAAAAAATAAAAAATGGCCGCCAGAAAACATGTTTTTGCCTATAAATCAGCTGTAAGTGCCCCGATTACCATGATCTTGGTGTCTATACCTATGTTTTTGAAGTCAACGAATGCAATAAAACACATGTCAAATATCATAAAGTATAGCTTCCTGCCAAAAAGTTGAAAATTCTAAATGATTGAAAAAAACATTATTAGTTCATTATTTTTATATGCTCTCATTTGCGTTAATAAAGCTTAACACTTAATACGATTTTATTTCATCGAAAGCACTTTCCTGGTGTAGAATACAAACGAACACCCATGCGTAATTATGCATAGGTATAGCGCCCTTAATTCGCTGCTGGAGTCAACATGGCGCCTGTGGCGCTTAAGTACGTGACCAATCATCTTCCTAACCCGTGTATATCTATAGGCCTTGCCAAGATTCACGTGTTGACAGTATGGTAACGCTTAGCGGACGTAAGTAAGAATTTGAGCGAGGCGGCCCACCTCGCTCGTGTCAATGCAGGGGGAACACGGCCACAGGCACTTGAAGCGTTTCAACTGTAACCACACGCCGCCGCCATTGCGCGCACACTGATACATAAATATATCAGT